AAAAAGAGGGGAAAAATAGGGGGGAGGGGTCAACTGCGAGTGTGTAGAACAAGGTAAATTATTCGCTGAGCAATATAATGCTTACAGTGGATGTGGATATGCTCAACACGATAGGTAAAAGATATACGGAAATTATAACACATAACATGATATTTGTAGAAAGAACCATGGCCATATATGGCCACATATAAGCTCACACATTATGATACTTTCAGTGATGTCCTTTGATTACCCTTTGTACTGTTTAGTAATCCTGTATAATTCAATTGAAAATGTTATGTCCAAGATATCTGTGGTCATAAGGTTATAGCGAAACCGAAAGTGATAAGATAAACTGTATGAAAGCTTGGGTAAAACTGTACTGCTTTAGGCCCGAAAGGATTCGCCTATGCCAATATTGTCCGATGTTTGTGTGCCCCGTACACTCGGATTCGCACCGACGCTGGAACGCGGGCTTTAATCATATTTCCACTCAGAACGTGCCTTGTAAGCTCGGAGTTTCCAATTATTACTGTAATGTGGGCGCAGATCTGCTTATTCCTATGTCGTTGCGACATAGCATTCGTATCTGCCTGGTTTCTACCTTACCTCTTAATTGGGGAGCTTCTTAATGGTACAGTGTGCAATTATAACACCATGACACATAAATGGTTGCATAACTTCATTAAGTTCCAGCATGTTGATTTGATTTCAAATCATATGAATGCTTGTAATGATGTTGATTTCTATATATTCCATGTTCTTATGTTGTATTTTGTTTGTAAAATTGATTGGTAGTGGCATGCATGATTGAGTCAAAGGTAATGTTATATTATTACATTTAGCAAATGAAAAGGGCAATAAGTTTGTGTTCTAAAGCATTCAGTCCGCGTAGCGCGGAACATTGCCGAAGGTGCCGGGGTGAGCGTCTGAGAATGCTTCCTCCAGAAGGAAGTCGCTTTGCGCTGTCTTCAAACCTCGCGAGGCTGCGAGAAATGCATTTGAGAGTCAGAAGAGTTTTCTGGCTCAAGTCGCGACCTGCGACAGCCAATCAAATAACTGCGAGATTTGCTTGAGATGAAGTAGCTTGAGCTGCGCTTGGTGTTGATTTCGCGTGAGCTGCCGAGATGCGCATCACTGAGAGTCAGTAGAGCTTCCTGGCTCAATAGTGCGCGCCGCTGTATTTGTCAGGCACATAGATGAAGTCGCGGCCGCGTGAGACGAAGTTCGGCGACCTAATTTGCTTGCTTGTGGCGTTCGCTGAAGCTTTGCGAAATGCGCCATTTGAGAGTCAGAAGAGCTCCTGAAACTCAAGGTCGCTGAGCGCGTCACTTTGGGAGCTTCCGCTCGAGCGCTTGAGTGTTTCCAGTGTCTATGTCGCGAGCCGCGTCTGCTACTGAATCGTTTTTTCCCAGATTGTGCGTCTGTGTTCTTTGGACCATGAAACTCTCAATATTACATACGTCCAAATGGAATGATTCAAAAACACCACGTAGATTAACATTAGGATGGACATTAACTCTCTTCTATACTACACTTCAACTTTCCTATTTCCTGGGGTCAAATATCAATATGATGAAGTTCTGGTGAATAAATTATGCCTAGCAAACTCTTGTTTCATGAATTCATTACTCATCCCCTGTTTTCAATAACACAATTCCAATCCTTCCCTCTACTCATATTCACAAGGCAACATATCATCTCACTAGCAACACCTTTGTTACACCCACACATTTAATTCCTCCCCCCACACAAAATTGAGAACTAGTAAACGACATGAGTAAATACCAAATCCTTGATGTCAACACGCTTGCAACTCTGTGTCTAGCATTCTCCTTTCTTGCAGCTTTTTGGACTTTCTTCTCCTATACCAACAAAAGAATTCTACATTTATACTTCATTCTTCTTCAAATCATAATAATCAATTAAAGATTCTGAATAAACCAGTAATAATTTCAAAGAATTTCTAACTCTTGAAGTGGACCCTTAATGCTTAACTATGTTTGAACAATGGAAAGACAAATAGGCCGGGACAAGGAAGAAGAGAAGGAAGAAACGTAAAATGGTAAAGTGATGGTGATAAGAACGGGTAGTGCTCTCTAGAAGAAGGTACTTTTGGCTGTGGTAACTTTCTACTCTGGTACCAAGCTCAGTTATGCAAAGGCTAACAACTGAATACCCAGACCTATAGGTTTTGATGCAATTAAGTCCTAACCTGTTTCATGCAAATAAGTCCACTTTAATCCTCTCATGCTACCCCAACCGGGTTTGGTTCAAACCCCGACTCAAATCAAGAGATGTTACACATAAGCTACCACTTTCTATCCTTTGGCCATGAAGTACCAATCCAACCAGTATGAGAGGCATCACTACTGTAAATTCGTCAAAGTCTTTAGCCTGAACGCTGGGTGCTGTTAACAAACGGTCGCTTCTGTCCTTGTCTCTTCAAAAAGTGTCAAAACTTCTTGCTGACATCTAGTTATCCGCAGTGGAATACAACCTCTTTCTTCAACACGTCTGGTTAAAGGTGATGCAATGATTGCAGGAATCCCTTTCAACAAACCGTCCTGTAATAACCGGCTAAAACCCAAGAAGAACTATCGAACTTCTGTGACATTCCTGGGTGGGTCTCCAATCAACCAATAGCTTCAATCTTTTAGGACCACTCGGATACCCTCTGATGATAACCACATGGCCCTAAGAAAGAGAAACTTCTTCTAGCCAAAACTCACAACTTACTGAGTTTAGCATACAAAATTGTTTATCTTCTCAATGTCCTGAAGGACAATCCGTAAATGCTTATCATGTTTCTAACTATCTTTGGAGTAAACAAAATGTCATCTTATAAACAACCATCCACAACTGATGCCAGGTTCGAATGAAAATAACGCGGTTCATGAGATCCATGAAAACCGCTGGTTGCATTTGTGAAGACCGAATGGCATGACTAAAAAATTCCATAGATGACCATACTCGGGTTTCCTAATGCCGCAGTCCTTGGCGATAACTCTTCTTCCTTTATCCGCACTGATGGTATCCCGACCTAAGGTCGATTCTTAGAAAAACATACCTGCAATCTTTTAACTGATCAAACAAGATCATCTATGCGAGGGCAAATGATTACTTATTTTGATTGTCAGTTTATTGCAGCTGTCTGCTAATCAATGCACAATCTGAATGATCCATCTTTCCTTTAAATTAACAAATAATACCGGTGCTCCCCAAGGTGATAGCACTGGGTCCTTGATAAAGCCTTTATGCCAATAACTCCTGCAGATGAATCTTTAACACTCTTTTAATTCTGCTGGTGCCATTTCTGTAAAGGTGCAAAATTCGATACTGGTGCTGCTAGGAAGAATCTACTCGGCTAAACTCCCCACTCCTCTCTCTGGTCGCGTAACTCGTAACTCATCTGCGCAATACGCTTGGATAACTAATACTGTTCGGCGTATCGTCTCGCATCTTTCCGCTTTTCTTCTTTCTCGCGCGCTTATCCGCGCCACACCCTACCACCACGTTGGTCTCCAACTTTGTCTGACCTCTTCTCTGCCTGCTAAATGGCTTGATACTCACATATAACCAGAAAATCTGCCGCTGTCCCGACTCTGTATCTCTTCCCCTGCGCTGGTGTAGATAAATGTCACCCTTTTTCTTCTGCAAATCAACTAGAATTATTCGAATAGCCAATCCATGCCAGAATAACATCAAATCCGCTAAATGGCAAACTCCATACAAGAAAAATCTCCTGGAACTTCCTTTCCATGAATAACAATTGGGACAAGTCTTTGATCACCGATGAGTTGTTTTACTACATCTCCTAATGGATTGGTAACCCAACATACCCTGACCCACAATGTGCAACCGCTAACTCCTTTAACCTCAGGGTTGTAAGGCACACTAATGTATGAATGAGCATGAGCCAGGAATCAATTAAAGCATAAACTCCAATGAATCACATAAAGAAAACTCACCAAGTTATGGAACAATCTGGAGGCTTCCTCCATCTTCTCTGGCTCGCATGGCATAAACCCCTGGCTGGACCCCTGGTATCAGGCCTGTCCACTGTCTCTGCATTTGCTTGTCTCTGGCACTCCGGAGGTCTCGCCTCTACGCTCTGCCTGTTATGAACGGCGTAGGAATTCTTGCCCTTTTTTAGGAACAATCCTTCTTCTGATGGTCTGAGCGCTCCCGCATGTCAAAGCATTACGGTCACCACCAACCTCTCGCCCATGTCGTGACAACAATGCTCACAAGGTTGGATGTAGTATAACCGGCTGTCCTGCACCTCTACCAGTGCTCTACCAGAACTCTGCCTGAACCTCGACTACCCACCCGGCAGAA